ACATTTTTATGTGCTTGTCCCAAGTCAGGCGCCTGTAATTCAGTGGTTTTCGTTGGGTCATGTCTGTCATATTTGTGTTTCGTTAATTGTTTTATTATGATATTATATATTATAAATCAGACCTTTGGTTTTCCCGCGTTTGAATCGTTTAACATGTTTTAATGTTGCTCACATCTACGTCATTTGGACAACGGTGGATAGTTGTCTCATTTTGCAATGTCATGCCACATCTCCTTGGTTTATATTCCTACCAAATTCGTCAAAACATTCGCTGTTCCCTAATATTATAGCCCACATATATGTGACTTGAAGTACAAGTTCAAGTTGCACTTTCAATGCGGAAAACGAAACGTATAGAACAAATATATGATATTAGTTTGTATAGGCTAAATCTATGTAGATATTATACACTACATATGAGGAAAATGATATATTAACACGGAAGAAAGACATTTGATTTTCAAGGCGATTATGGCTTCTTGACCTTCAACATGAGGTTCTTAACGATTCAGAGAAGAAAAATCTTTGTTTCATTTCTACTTCTTTTTTAAACACAGGAAAACTACTAGCTGGTTCGACATCCTGTTTTTTACTGAAAATTTAAAGCCGAAAATTAAAATTCTGATATTATGCATATCCTTACATAAAGCAAATGTACTGTCATCCTACATAATATGAAAACTGTATATCTGACCCACATGATCTAACTGTGCATATCACGCGCTTATCTGCATGGGACTAATGGACAGAATGACAGTATACGTCATTTCCCCGCGGGGCATACAAATATAAACATATAGAACCATCGCACTTTACATTTTTCAAGGGAAATATGGAGGGGGCGGGTGAATGCTAGTGTTAAATAATTGATGTCAGTGCTGAAAAAACAATTTTCAGAAAGGGTGATTAGGTAGGAACAAAACAATTAAACATACCTTATTTTAAAACTTGTGTAACCAATACCTTCAGTTTGGCTTTCATACACCCTATTTATGCACGACAAAGTTAAGATATCCTTTTTGGAAAGTTTACGATATGTTACAAAATTCCCGAGCAAAACTCTTTCAAACAACCAACAAAGATGATATAAATAAGAAGAAGTATATACAACAGATGCATGCAGCCGGGAAATTTTCTCTCAGATCTGTCATTTATAGGACGACGAATACACCATTTATATCTCAGTATTTCTTGTATCCGGACGGTAAATCACCGTGTTTATATATACCCGGTTCAATTGTTATCTTGATAACCAGTACATTAAACATGTTAAACTATATGTCCTTCTTCCGTTTTAACTTGTTGAAACACAAAAAAAAACTTTTTTGATAAGCATTTTTTGTTGTTGATTATTATACTTAAATTTACCATAAGAATTGTGAGGTATCGTTGCAAGCAGCTTTCCCTAGCTATTGATTAAAAAAAAGCTAACTATGAATGCTACTTTCAATTTGTCAATCTATTTTTAAAAGAAGTTAAAATAGTGATTATGTTACTACTGTAATAATCAAACAACCTATACCTTACTTTCATAGAACTAAAATTACTTTTTTTACTAATTGAGATATCACCTATTATCCAACACGAAAATCTCAATCCATTTAAATCTGAAAGCAAACCCATTAATTCCCAATTTCTGGCATGGTTGCCAAAACTTATATAATACCTTCTACAACAAGTCAATCAACAGTTGTACACACGATGAAGAATTTATACAATAAACAGTTCTAATATATACACATATATCACTGCGCATGGACAAGAAAAGTTCCAGTGGACAATGACAATGCAAATTGACTGAAAATATTCCATATTCAGTGAATTATAGGAACGAACACAATTTAAGGAATATTATGTTCATATATTTTATCACTTTCTGATCATTCTTCCACGGGAAAACATATAACTGAAACTATATATATATTCAATAAAAATTCTAATATAAGAGTGTGAATATGATACTATATTTGATATGTTTTTATTGAAATTGCTATGTGCTTGATTAGCCAATGCTGTTTCATGATTAAAAAAATAAGAATTTACGACAGTCTATCAACTGTATTTTTTATCTAAATTCTTGTCCGTTATTTCCTTTGGTACAAATTAAAGAGAAATTTCTTAAAGATCAGCACATTTTTATATTGTCTTATCATATATAGTCCTCTAATCGTCAAAATCGGAAGAGATTTTCATTTTATGTTTATATAATTATACATTGTATTAGCTTGTACAGCAATGTCAGCGTTTTAAAAAATGGAAAAAAATCGAAATTATATCATTGCTGTTGCGAAACGTTGTAGATGTAATTAACGACGTTTCGACCCATATCATAATTTTTTTTTTATCAGAGGGAATTTGCACAAGCATAATGAACACATGATTTCCAGAATATATACTTTGAAGTTTTCGCATCAAATTAAAAACCTTTTGTTGGAATATCTACTTTCTGATCAGTAATGAGTATCTAAGTAGTTGACTCAAAAGTGTTCTGTTAGTAACGATGATAAAATATTACTTAAAAATATAGCCATATTGCATTGCAAATAAGAAGTTTTTTGTAAGAGACTATGCCGCGACATCGTTTACCAATTAATGGACATACATTTATTCTGAATCCTAGATATCCCAATACCAAATCCCGAAAAACGCGTAAGTTGCACCGGCGGGAAAGTGTGAACCTCGAAATGGTGAATTGGTGTATGTGAACCGAAAATTGCTCATTTGGTGTCGTTGGCTTTAAACTGATAAAACACATATTAACTGTTTTATAGGTTCGCAAAGAACACGAAGCAACTAATTTATCGATTCCAAATATCAATCCACATCTATCGGTTAAGTATATAAAGGTATCTCTCGGTTATCTGATAAAGGACTTTCTGATTTGAATTTTCCTTGGAGTTCGGTATTTTTGTTATTTTACTTTTCACTTTGAGTTCAAGTTTTTTTTTTTATATATAGATGATATTAGAAAAAAAAATGTTCTTGCAAAAATTAAAACAAGTCATCATAAATATGTATGATAAAAATGTATAAACTTTTAATATTTTTCTTCTATTATGTGAAAACGGACACTGAAAGATTCAACAAACAAAATCTCGACAGTTGTTTGCAGATCTGAATCGCCATAACAGTATGTGTGCTTCTAGTTTTTAGTTATATATCAACGATTTCAATGCATATCGAAACTTAATACTAACAATGTACATTCTTGTGGTATATATTTGTATTGTTAACCAAGGACATGCTGCCAAAAACGTCAAGTCACTGGCTGTTCCTAAAACATTTTGTATTAAAAAGCTCATGGGTCACATCGGAAAATATGAATATTATAAATACATTGAACTACATGTATCTATGCGGAAAACGAAACGTTGCAGGAAACTATACATTTATAAAAACACCAGACATTACGGAAAACGAAATAGTTCGGATGATAGATAGCTAAATTAAAAGCGATTAGGAATTTTTGACTGCATCATGGAGCCTATGGAATACCCCAGAACATTTCAAAACGGTTAGATTGCTATACATTAGAAGTCATTTTATCGAAAGAAAAAAAACCCATATTTAATCAAACGAAAAGACCATTAAAACAACAAAATTGCAACACATTAGACTGAGAAGGATTGTTTTGACCTCATGATTATTTCGATGGTAAGAAATACAAATGAATAGAGATGAAAATGGCAAAACCATTAACATTTTATTTATGAAGGTATACACATTGAAAAAAGAGTAATAAGTAACAAGCTTACGGATTTTATTCGTTTTAACTAGCAACATAAAATTAACAGCCGCACCAGAAGCGTACGATACGTGCACCTTATGCATATTAAGATTGTCAAGGAATGAAATAAAATATTGTAGAACTATTCAATAAAATTCCCAAAAATTGCCCCGGAGAAAAACTTGCATGTGGGTATCATTAGGCGTGAGAAAACTGCCTTAAATTAAACAGTAAAAAATGTAACGACAAATACTTGTATCAGATAATTTTCAAAATCGAACAGGAGCTTACTTTCACCAATCCCAAAGAAAAGAAAAAACAAGCTTGAAGTAAAAGATCCAAGTACACTGGCTTGAAACTGATGGTTATCGTTCCATTACTGTGCATGGAAGACAAAACAGATTTTTTTGAAAATAACAAATGCAGGTTACTAGTACTTTTACCATACACAGGATAAATATTAATTTTCACTTCAATCTGTCGAAGCATGCTCGAAAAATGGCCTTAAATCTGATTGTTTAAGTTCCGTATCTTCGAACGACAAACCGAAAAATGTTCAAGATAGAAAGGGGCTTTCTTTCATCGATTCATTTTCCTTTACCGGCTTCATGATATTCTAGATCTTTAGCCTTTGTTCGGCAGCCGAACGCGGACAATGCATTATCATAATACGCCCCCTTTCATGACGAAATTTAAAAGTCCTGAAAGAACATAATAATTGCTTAAGATAAACCGTTATTTCATTGAAACTATTGTTCTAGCAAGTGGTGTTACAGAAATTGTTTTCTGTGTTAAAATAAACTCATCAATGATACCATGCAGGCTTATATTTTGTAAGCCAGACGCGCGTTTCGTTTATAAAAGACTCACCAGTGACGCTCGAAAAAAAAATGTTAATAGGCCAAATCAAGTACGAAGTTGAAGAGCATTGAGGACCCAAAAATTCCGAAAGGTTTTGCTAAATACAACTAAGGTATTCTTTTCATAGGGGTAACAATTCCATGGTTTTTCGAACAATGCAAAGTATTATGCGAGACTGTCATATGACCTTCGTGATAGAAAATCTCTTGTCAATAGGAATTATTCTTTTGTAACGCATTAAAGACACAAAATATTTTGATAATTAATTCTTGTAGAGTATTAAAATATCATTAATGTACACAAAATAGTATAGTTCATTAATTATATCTATTATAGTTAAACAACAGTGTGTCCTAACATAATCAGCGGTAGCCTCAAATTCAGAAGCATACATTAAATAATAGTTACTTACCTTTAATTTTTTTTTACATTTCTATGATGACCTGTAGATATTGAAAGAGAAAAAAAACTAATTTACAGAAAGCGTTATGTGTAAGACTGGGAATTTCCTGTTCATATGTAGGTTATATAAATACGACTGTACTAAAATATAAGATTTATGTAGGTGTACACACACTCAAACATAAGATCATGTGAGGGTTGTTATAGGTATATTACATTCTGATCCTCTATTAATTATTTAGGTTATTATTAGCACTTTTATTATTTTAAATGAAAACAAAACATTTTATTAATTTTCTTTGTCGTGGCTTTGCTTTTTAATCAATCGTTTATTATTTGGATCAGAATTCCCTTTTCATTTATTCATCCAAACCGTCAGACGTACACATTTTGTCAAATGTATAATAGTACCCACTCACTTAATTATCTTTATACAAATTCATTTGTGAAATTTACTTCTTCTCATCATTAAAAATGACAAGTGAAAAGTAAGTGTCAAAGTACACAAATATAATCTTAACGGAGGGAAAATATTTGAATCTTGCATTCCTTTAGACCCCCTTGTAAGTGCAAATGATGAAGAAGAATAGTAGATATATATTTAACCAAGGAAAAAGAAACAAAATGCTAAAATTTAAAAAGGACAACATAGTTAAACCAATCCACGATGATAATATAGATTGGGTATTTCCTGGCTTTGTTTGATTCAGGATTTTATCTTACTGTAGGAATATAGGATATAAATATGGAATTGATAATTTACCCATTTCAAATGATATTATTATCAAACCAATTAATATAACCCCTACTAAACAAATAACCAATCGGGATATATTAACAAAAGGAGCTTTATATAAATGGGACATATTAAATAATTGCACTTTGTTGTAAAACTTGAATGTATACATAAATATTTTGTTATAATTGCATAAAGGATATAGTGCATTTATCCATGAAAAAATCCCAACACGTGCTAAAAGTCTTGACAAACCAAAAGCAAAAGGAATATATAGCGCTTTAACTACTCTTATAGTGAGACCCTCAAAACAAACGGAACAAACTCTCGCACCTTCCTGCAACTCCCTATTTTTTTTGTTAGTATGCCCCCGCAAAGCAAGTTTGGGGATTTTTGGAATCCCCTCGTCCGTATGTTTGTCTGTCTGTATTTCTGTCCCGCTTCGTGCACGGTGCATAACGTTTGTACCATTAAACATAGGTTGATCAGACTTGGCATTCAGATGCAGCATGGGTTGATGATTTGTCATATACCAAAGCCAGGTCACTATGCCTTTGAACTTTAACCTCTATTAAAGTAAACCATTGTCTGATTTGTGTTCGGTGCACATGCATTACGGGAAGGTGATTTGTCAGTAAGATTAGGTCATTGTGGTTTTGACCTTGGACCCTCAAAAAGTTGATTGACCTTTAACATGGATATGGTTGAAAGCCGAATATCTCAAAATATCATGGAATCAAAACTGAATTTCACAGGAGCAACTTAAATGCATGTACGAGGGTTAAAGTCCTGATATGGAGACAGACCTAGTAAATAGAATGTTTTACCCTTTATAGTTTGTTTTAAAGGCCAATGACGGTTAAAATGAAATAGTTTGATCGCGTTTCTGTTTGTTATTTTCACTAGATATTGAATTGAATTATCGATATATGCACAGGTGGTCTTCAAAACGTCCTTTTTCAGAGTCAATATAAAAGGTTCAAGCAACGATAAATAGTTTAAACAAACAATAACAGGAAAAAAAAATGTAAAATATGGCCCGTAGTCCTACTGTTTTGTTGACTTTGCGAGTCAAAGTGTCTATTCAAATCAAATATAAACGTCAATTACTGTCCTCTCCTAGACTTAGATATTCAATTTTACACGCGAAACTCTAAAAAAATAAACGACAAAAGGAACGATTTTTCGTTCCCTATTGTTAATTTTCCATTTTTGGACGGTGTTGTTCCTCTGGCACATCTTACGGTATTTAGATATCCCAACTCGTTCGCTATGCCCGTGTCTGCAGTGACGTTTTAGATTTCATTGACAGTAATACATGTGTTACTGTTAAATTATTAAGTCCATGATTTCGTTACCCGCAAATTACTTAAAACCTTTTCTTAATTTCTTCATAGCAACAAAGATTTATCTTGAAAGTTATGCTGTGCCTGTCTAAAACTTATTACAAACAGATAGTACAGCTTAATTTGTACGGTGATGTTGTTTATCGAGCCCTTAAATCTATATACGATCCGGATAAACTTATCGATCTTTTACATAAACGTGTTATAAAACACAACAATGTCATTAGATCTTTGAATATTGATTTATAATGAATTAAAACCCTACTAAATATTATTGTTATACACATATGTTCATTCACGGTACTACAATCTGTCAATACCTATATTTTGGTATTGTAAAAAGTCATGTTTTTCTCTTACTGTTAATGACGTCTTTACACTAAATCCAGTGGAAGTTGGATGTGTACTGATTGATATTTTGTTGAAGCTACAAAATTTTTGTAATTATTAGTTATTGGTTTTTAACATGCTTTCAATAATTGCAAGTGCTCTATGATCTGTACTGTATGCCTTTTGTGTTTGTGCTTTGTATCGATCTGATGAGTTAAGCCTTTTAAACTGATTTTTTTAGTTTGTTCTAATGTTGTGCTGTTACAGCACTGTCCCATGTTAGGGGGAAGGTTGGCGCGCCCGAAAACATGTTTAAGCCCGCTTCATTGCTTCATTCTGTAAGTGCCTGTCCAAAGTGAGGAGCCTGTAGTACACGATGAGTCTTGTGTAGAAGAACCGTGCGTCTGGTGTACAAAAGTTTAAACCTGGTATATATGATGAGTTTATTCCTATACACTTATAAAATTGTAAATAGTACGCGATCTCCGTCTTTATTTTAAGAAACAGTGACTATATTAGGCGTGACTGAGTGTACACAAAACACATTTGGTGTTTTAGTCTTGAAGGTCATGAACTGGGAACAATATATGCATTAGTCCAATGATTTGACAGATTGCTGTCTAATTGACGTATACCCACAAAAGCATTGATCTCATCCTTTTATTCGTATGTTTACACGACGTCAAGATATTTCTTTATTTGTGTACTAACGGATCCTCTTTGACTCAACTACCAGATTTATATCGAAGATTGAAATTAATATCGGACATTACTATTATATTGAACGTATCGCTAAGAGAATAATTATGACTTGATGTACCTTGCACTATCAATGCGGAAATCGAAACTAGCGGTAAAATATAAAGTGTGTTTACTTGTATAAGATTAATCCTATGTAAATACCACGTACGTACTATTTATATGAGAAAAACGAAATGTTAAAACAATATACGACATTTTGTCACATTTGCTAATATGAACAAATGGAACCATCGCACAACCTTATAACTTTTTAAGGGCAGTGTTAATGAATGGTGAACTCAGGTTTTACTTTTAGCGTTGATTAACATGGAGAAAGCCAATGATAGTGTGAAATAAAGGATATCAGTACTGAACAACAATATATTTCAGAAAAAGATAAGCAGAACAAACCTACCGTATTCTAAAAACTTGTCTGCACCACTGACTTAATTCCTTCTTTTGATTTTTTCCTTCATCATATGAACAACACACTTAATGATATCCTCCTTTGAAGGTTTCAGATATTTAATAACATTATTTTTAAAAAAATCATCAAAGATACTAGGCTTATAAATTAGTATTATACGACAGATGTGCAAAGTGTTAAAACTTTTGTACAAATCTGTTATTTGTATTTAAAATTTGTTTAAAGGCGGAAGATACCAAGGAGACATTCAAAATTCATAAGTCGAGATAAACTGACAAGTCTTGGGCAAAACACGAAAGACGACGAAAGACAAACATGTTAACAATTCACTACATAGAAAACTAAACACGAACCCATCAAATGATATGATGTATTGATTGTTTGTTTATTAGAAATATCATAATCTTTATTCTAATAATAACTATTTTAAAAAAAAGGTGACAAAATGAAACTACCATTCATAGTTTATTTTTTAATCTTTACATGGAGAACGCTGCATGCAACCATACCTTGGTTAAACGATTTTCATTTTGAAGACTTTGCTAAAACGACTTTATTCATATGTGTACACATGCACTTCGAAGCCAGCTTTGATTTACCAGAGTTGAATAACAGATATAAATTTAGTTTATTGAAGATAATACCAATCTTCAAGATATTTCTTTATTTTTGTACTTATGGATCCCCATTGACTCAACTAGCGGACCTATATCAAAAATCAGAATGACTATCGAAACATAACACTTATACTGAACATACTCAATGCTAGTCAGTAGTGGAATTTTTACTAAAGGAGGAGGTATGATTAGAGCCATACGTTGACCCGTTAAATTGAAAAAATAGTGATCTTATCTAAGCATTTTTAAATTTTTAATTTTATTGATAAAAGAACAGGTTTATATAAACTAATTAAAGATGCCAAAAAATCATCTGTGATGTCACTTTGACGTCATAAACATGTCGAAATTTAAGTATTTGATCTACAATGGTCATTTAACGCATAGTTTTTGGTCAAAATAAATATGAGGAACAGCTTTATTCAAAAAACTATTTAACAGACATTAAAGGCCGTGCGCTTGCCTATAATTGCTTACATCCACTTCATTTTAACTTTGGTGGATAGTTGTCTCATTGGCAATTATACCACATATCCTTATTTTTATATCAAAATCTTTGTAGCAAATATTTTTAGGTTAAAGCTATCACTTATATTTAAATATAAATGACAATTTCTAAATATGATATGAATAAGAAGATGTGGTATGAGTGCCAATGAGACAACTATCCATTCAAGTCACAATGTGTAATAAAAAGTAAACAATTAAAGGTCAAAGTACGGCCTTCAACACGGAGCCTTGGCTCACACCGAACAGCAAGCTATAAAGGGCCCCAAAAAGACTAGTGTAAAACAATTTAAACAGGAAAACCAACGGTATAATCTATATAAAAAACGAGAAACGAGAAACACTTATGAATCACACCAACAAACGACAACCACTGAACAACAGGCTCCTGACTTAGGACAGGTGCATACAAATGCAGCGGGTTTCAGCGTTTTAACAGGCACCAACCTTCACCCTAACCTGAAACGGTGGTATGACATTACAATATTAATAGACACAACACAATAAAATATCAATTGAAATGGCTTAACACGATCAAAAGACAATACACAAAAACAAGTAAATATACACTGAACGAATAAGTTTGATCTATGACACAATATAAATAAAAAAGATGTTTCAATGTCAAAAAGACAACTTTAACCTAGGACAAAAATGGCGTTAAATAAAGTAACGTAAACAGGTAAATTTAAATATAATTATTTTGTTGTTAGGAGTACAGAAACATGTTTTACAAAATAAATTTGTTATTGATAGTACGAGTACCGAAGTGAACAAATTTTCGTCATACTAAATACTTTTCACAAATAAGTAAACATTGAAGAGATGCATTACAAATTGTGTAAACAGGTCAAATTAACACGAATGTACGATTTGAGAGTACTCGCAGTTACTGAAAGCTAGTTAAAAGCCAAAAACAATTAATAATAAAAAATCATGCATCAGAGGCTAAAATCAAATAAAACACATCAGGCAGGGATTTAGTGTTTTAACGCCATGGACAGTCAAAGAAGACATGACTTGTGCAATGCCAAAATAAATGTAACGACAGGCAGTAGGATAGTTTGGGTTTAACCTTATAATAAATATGTATGATGTTATGTATAGATAAAATAATTTCTAAACAGAAAATAAACGTGGATGTGTATATATACATCCCAAAAAAACATTCGAAAAAATACAAACTTAGTTATGTTTTAATTTGTTGATGACAAAATCGATGTTAGTGCCAATGAAAACAATATTCAAAGATCTTATTACAACATTAATCAGATAACCTTTACTAATAAGTTTGTTTAAAGGTTCGATAAGTTTACACGGATCACATAGTGATTTTCGCGCTTTTAGTACAATGTTACTGTAAAATTTAGGATGTGAAATACCATTTTTAATATGTTTTCTACAGGTACAGTGATGCTTATTTTGCTGTTTCTTGCTGTTTTTCACTAAATTTAAACGATTGAAGCCAATAATGCCAATATTTTAGACAGAATTCAAAAATATAAATTCTGAAGGCCAAAAAAACTGATGTCTTGTGAACATCTGAAGGATTTTTTTTTGATAGATTCATATGATACTTTTTAATTTTGAATTCAAGGAGCCAAATATGGCCTTATCATACTTTCTTATTTCCAAAGACATTCACTGTTCCATAATTATTTGATGTTCTTGACTCACTGATAAAATATTAGATTGATATTCATTATAGGAACACAAATCAACCTTGTTTTTATAGACTACCAAACAACCGTCAATCATTTTATAGGTTCGTAAATAACAGTCGACCATTTATTGGTTCGCACTCACCCTGTACATTCGTTTTTATTTAAAAATCAATTAATAAAAAAAGAAAACACAAAAATCCTTGTTTGAGCTTATATATCCTACCAGACACAACAACGTTGTTTCAACATTGAATAAACGTCACATTTAAACGTTGAATCAATGTTGAAAAGTAGGTCTGGAATGAAAATTTATATGACGTTGACAACATGACGTTGATTCAACTTCAGCTTTCAACGTTGAAAATGAGTTGAATTTTGGTCTAAATTTGGTCAGTGTATGTTGAAAACGGGTCGAATGCTGGTTGAACTGTGGTTAGTGTATGTTGAAATCAGGTCGAATCCTGGATGAACTGAGGTCAGTGTATGCTGAAATCAGGTCGAATGTTGGTTGAACTGTGGTCAGTGTATGTTGGAAATAGGTGGGATTTGGGTCCAGGTCGACTGTTTTAGGGTTAATGTAAGTTGAAACTCGAAATGTGGTCAATGTTGAGAAAAGGATGTGAATTTGTTGAACATTGGTTAAATTGAGGTCTGTCAACAGCTGAAATCATTACCCCTTATTATATCCATCAATGTCATTTTAAGTGCAATAAAACTTTTGCAAAACTATATGTACTAAGTGGGAGTAGTCATGTGACGGTGGTTGATGTACATGTAGTCTGTTGCAGAGTTCATTATTTTGGAGATTTCTGCCTGTTCGAATATTTCCCTTTTTATATTTCTCTACATTTTATAATTTAGTGGAAAATAAGTCATTCCATTTGTTTTGGTAAAACTGGTAAGGAGACCATTTACTTCTGAATCTGGTGTTTATAATACAATACTTGCTTAGAAGAACAGGCACAATTTATTAATCTAACCAGACATAGACTATCTTAAACTTTTTTGTAGTGTCAGTTGACATACATTTTTGTACCTTCATTTTTCTTTATATACTTATAACTATTCTGTTCATACACAAAATATGTCTGTGGCATAAAACTATAATTATATTACAAGTTGCTCACATATGCATCTTACAATTTCAAACAAACACAAACTGAATACTTGATTTTATTTAAAATTTTAGTCTTTTACTAGACACATTCCCAGATATTTCAGGGGCATATTTTAGGTATCTTGCACACTAGTTCAATATTGTGGTCTCTGTTGCAGATTCGTGACTTGTAACTATAGCATCTGCAACAGAAAAACATATTATACTACCTTTATCATAACTTGGTTAATATTCTTAAGCAGCTCAAATTAAGAACACTACTGTAATATGTGAACAAATAATCTCTACTATTGTCATTTTTTTAATATTTACTGAGAGCAATTATGTGCTTTTTTAAAATTTGATTTCAGATATGGTAAACAAAATGTTTAAGAAAAAAAACCCCAATAGATTTGGGTAGACAAAGAGCACATTTAAAAGAAATTGTGACAAAATCTTACACAATTTCAAAGTGGAAAAACAATGCTATATTTTTCAATACTCACCTCTTATTATTTCAAATAAGCTTGAACCACCAAAGGCATGTTTATTTTTTTTTTAACAGTCCTGTTTATTTCAGACATCGGTTTATTGGTAAGACATCTACAAAAAAGACACTTTTAAGTGCAACATTTCCAAATTGTCACAACTCTTCTCTTACCTGAAATAGGAAAATAAAAAGTTTTATATGTGCGAAACGCTTACAAAATTTGGACTTCCAAACCATAGGTTGGTTAAAACCCCTTAAGTTCAATTATTTTAATTGTAGCAGTACAGGAAATTTGTCCTGCAGAATCCAACAACATTCTGGAATCAACGGCTTTAGAATTAATTCTAATCCTAAATCATAGTTTGAAGATCTCACAATAAGCTAATGGCATTTCAATTTTTTTTATCTTGACAGTCACTCATAGTGAGATACAATAATGCACCACAAGCACCCAGATCTTGACAGTCACTCATCTTAAGAAACAATTATGCACCGCAAGCACCGAGATCTTGACAGTCACTCATCTTGAGATACAATAATGCACCGCAAGCACCGAGATCTTGACAGTCATTCATCTTGAGAAACAATAATGCATCGCAAGCACAGAGATCTTGACAGCCACTCAATTTGATATTACAAAACACCCATAAAACAACGCATCCTATATTGCCTGATAAGACCCCTATACTTTTTTAGTGTTTCCGCAGATAAAGCTTTGGATGGTCATCAAAAGATGCTTTACTTTAACTTAATAAAAATAAATATTATTCATGTATAATTAATTATATTGATGTATTTTATTTTATATATAAATTCTCCATCAATAGATATTTTCGGCATGTTTGCTATACGCAATCTTGAAGTAGTTCAACATTGAACCTTTGTTTACATTCTTCTTGAAACTGCAATATATTCCAGTCTTTCGTGATACGTCTTTTTTAATTTTACGTATACGTTGTATATGGGTTATATATGTGTAGTTATTAAAACGAAAGGAATATTTTGTTTTTCCTTGATTTTTTTGTGCTGTAATAATAATTCAATACGGTCAATTGATAAAGCATCAGTAATACTACCATCTATTTCCACGTTATCATATAAACCACTTTGAAATTGGTCAGATTGTGTATTAATTTGTTATGTTCACACGTTTTTCTTATCTCCCGTATTGCTTCACTTATAACATGTTTAATTAATTATCGGAATACATGTTGTGAGTGACAGCTATTCTGATGCAGAGAAAAGAATTTGTATGTTTTAAAAAAAATGTATTTCAAGAATGCCATGTGTTGTAAATCTTTGATTGTTTTCAGCACAATACAGGCTAAGGTATTGCTTTGACATGACATGGCTGTCACTTTATTTGAACTTAAGACAAAAGAGCTATGAATGCTTGAAATTGAAGAATCTAACGTTGAAGGCAATGGGACCAATAATTAGTGGTGTGCCTCCTTAAACTCTTTGTATATGACTGATACGATTTTGCAATTGGAAGTAAAACATGCTAAACTGATGGGCATTCATATATTTCTGGTACTTTGTGATACTAGTAATTAAGGGACTCTGATGCACTCAACAAACGGACTAAATATCGACAAAACGTTATTCAAAGACTCGGATTGGGATTAATTGTTACACTTTCTTTGCTATTGTTTATTTCAGTTTAAATTCAAAGAATCTAATGAATATTGAATTTTAATTCTTATAATGAAACTTCCCGTTGTACCTTTCTGTATTATATGCGACTGCCATACAAGTGAGAGATTTAGCTAGCTATAAAACCAGGTTTGATCCACCATTTTCTACATAAGGAAATGCCTGTACGAAGTCAGGAATATAACAGTTGTTTTCCATTCGTTTGATGTGTTTGAGCTTTTGATTTTGCCATTTGATAAAAGACTTTCCGTTTTTAATTTTCCTTGGAGTTCGGTTTTTTTTTTGTTGTTATTTTACTTTTTGTTAAACGAGGACATTCTGCCTGACTCGCGTCATAAAGAAATCGACACTTTTACCACCTACTTGGTATGGCCTCCTATGGTACCAGGCTGTTACATCGAACGCCCGTCCTGAAAGCAAATAGTTCTTGGTATGAATAACTATTTATCCCAGTGGATCATTGATTAGCCCCCATGTGGTTTTCAGAAAAATATGATTTCTGTCTAGAAAAAATCCCTGTTACGATTATCACTTGTCAATATGAGTTGTTCACTTGTACCTCCATAAAAACACACAAAATATTTCGATCATTGCTTTTGGTAGAGAAACATTGGCCGTAAGTGTAAAAATAGAGGCCTCATATATACAAAAAGATATAGGTTTACATGCATATTAGAATTTCAAGAATATGTTTTCATAAGCGACCATGACCCGCTCGGACTAACTTTGAACAACGAAATTATGAACCATAATTTGACAGGCATATTTGCACTAAGATGTACTGGTGTGACCACAAACTATCTTAAACCAAACCTTTATCCTGATACGGGACGGATGCACAGGCCGAAAAAAAACATGCTGTTCCTACCATGTCTACTATCATAGACGGGACATTAAAACAACAATGTGTCTTATAATACAGTAATTGACCTCAAGCGTTTACCGTAAATACAACGCCTTTAATCTTTTTACATTTCATGACTCTGTAAGACAAAAAGTAATTAACAGATTGGTTATTGCATAGTATCTGTATTTAACACTCGACAGCCTGCCTAATATATAACTTAACTGGGATTTCCTGTTTAAATGCATAATATTACGTGTATAAGTACGATGGTACTAACGTATTATTTGATATGTATAGGAGTGCACAAACACACAAAAGTAAGATATGTATTTTTTTTTAATTTGAGGATGAACAGTGTATTTTCCTTTCAAAGTATAGATTCATAATTTGTGGGCATTATTATTATTCACAATCCTTTAAATTTTCTTGACTTTATTATTCTGAAATCACCTATTATTTAGATTAAAATAATCTATCAATTAACCCTAGATGCACACATTTAATCAGAAGTATACTTACTCGCTTATATCTAAAAGTTTCCTTCATAATTATAATTAAATGCTTTAACGTTTAAAGTGAAATTGAAAGTACCAAAATGTTTGCTTGTCAGAGAGAAACATTGTATAATCTTGAGTTCATTTAAATCACTTGAATTTGCTAATGATGAAAATAAACAATGGATACATTTAACCTATGACAAAAGAAACAAAAATTTGTAACGAAAACACAGCGCGTTAAAATACTATTTAAAAGGAAAGCCTAATTTCTTGAAATTATCTAGGCTATGGTTTTGGGATTTTCCAGTTATGTATTATCATGATTATTGAAGACTTAGAGTTGCACAACCTACTATAACCTCGAAGAACGATCTAAATATAAGATTATTACCCCACCTACATTTGTATGTGTATACAAAATAAGTTGTTATAAGAAAGGGACATTCCTGCATTCTTACTGGGTAACATTTATGTCGTTATGCAAAACAAATGCACTGAACTATAGTATTTGAATTTTGCTAATGTATAAATTAATTTTCACTGAACTAGTACACATTTTTGTGCGGGTGTGGGATTTTCTCGCTGTGTTGAAGACCCATTGGTGCCTTCGTCTGTTTTCTGCTCTTTGGTCGGGTTGTTGTCTCTTTGACACATTCCCCATTTCCATTTTCAATTTTACTATAATTGGAAAAATATGATTTTTTGCATGACAAAATCCAAATACGCATTTGAAAAAAACCAAAAGCACAGGAAAATTAATTTAACTGCATTTCAAAGTCACAGTGATACCTTCAACGGAGCAAACTCTCACACCTTACTGTCATTTTAAGATGTTTTTATCTTGATTTATGTTTTGATTGATTTTGCTTTATTTTGCTTTTTGATAAATATTTTGATTTTGTTACCTTGATTTTCATGTAGAAAATGTCAAAAAAAAACAAGGAGGTGTGGTATGATTGCCAATGAGATACCTATCAATGCAATTTCAAATGACGTGGATGTAAGCAATTATAGGTAACCATACAAGAGGGATGAAAGATACCAAAGGGACAGTCAAACTCATAGATCGAAAACAAACTGACAACGCCATGGCCAAAAATAAAAAGACAAACAGACAAATAATAGTACAGATGACACAACATAGAAAACTAAAGACTAAGCAACACGAACCCCACCAAAAACTGGGGGTGATCTCAGGTGCTCCGGAAGGGTAAGCAGATCCAGCATTTTTTTTTACATGGCCTCCCCTCGTTTCTATTGGTGTTATCAAGACCAAATATGGACCATCGATAGACCTCATCATGAAGTATTACCAGATGAGGGCACGTAGGATTTCATCATCCCCTGTAGAAGTTATCTCCCTTTTATTGGGTTTTTTCAACATGGCCCCCCTCGTTGTTTTTAAAGATATCATAACTTTATGTGGACAATAGGTAGATCTCATCATGATGTATTACCATATGAGGGCACGTATGATTTCATTATCCCCTTTGAGAGTTGCATCCCCTTGAAGCAATTTCTTTTATTTGCATTTTTCTTAAAAAGTATAAGAGATAGAATCGAATTGAAAATGGCAGCATCTACAGTAACAAATGTCAATGTTAATAAACATAAACAATTAGTATGTTATCAATCCTTATAAGGAGTTATTTCCCTTGAAAAATTTTACACAATTTTAAAAAAATTGTATTTCAAGAACCGGAAGTCATAGAGACTTGGGACCTTCACCAATAATCTTTAATTCATGTGACCTTTAATTTGCACCCAAGGTCAAAGGTCACTGAGTGCAAAAACAATTTGCGCTGCAATTTCAAGCTTACATATTAAGAAAACGATAAGAGTTTGCTGCATACATACTGTGTATAAAATGTTTCTCTCGACGAGCTCTATATTTTATACATTAAGCTCAAAAATGTCCGACCGTCTGTTCAAAAGTTACGACGAGATAATTCTTTAAAGTATAGTTTTGTGTGCATATCTTTTAAAAGGTAACAGATATGAACCTACTATAAACTGCAAAAATTATCAGTATTTTAAGACCTTCAGTTTGAGGTCAATGTCAGGTCATGATGAAATTTTACCTTGACCTTCAAAGTGTACTATAACCTTGACCCTTTGACATTTGAAAGGTCAAGTGGTCCTGAGTTGAATGGTGGTAGTCCCATGCCTCTACGACTTCCGGTTCTCAAGTTTGGTATTGCATCATATATTTGATAATTCATTGTGACCTTGATGAACTTTGAAATTGTCCCAAATTTTTGTCTACAATGTTGTCCTTTAACTGCAGATCATTTATCATTTAACAAAATTGAAATATCTATTGTCGTTTTTGAGATAATGCAGGTTGAAATTTTACGAGCGGAGGCATGTATTTCTGAATCAACAACAGCTTTCCACCTGAAAGTTTCAGAAATTGAAGACTTAAACATGGTTATATGTTTGACTAATTATCAGAAACTTTCAATGAAAAACTGAAAAAAAAAATCAATTTGAAATTTTTATCTTTTACATTGACTTTGTAAGTTTCATAAGTTCTATTTATATAATTGATATTGCATCATTTTTGGCACTTTTCCAAATGCGGTCATTATGTATATCAAATTGAAGGTCTTAATGAGCTCTACTCAAAAAATGAAAATTTCAAACCCCTTTTTCATCCCAGTGCGAAGGGTGGGGTCATTTAGTGCAAAAAATTCAAACTTCTCAGATGGTTAGGTTGTCGCATATCAAATGAAAGTCCATAAAGCGTACATTTCAAATATCAAATTGACGTCCCCAAAAAATGGGTTGGGTGGGGTCATTGAGTTCAGAAAATAAATTGTCTTCTAAGGTAAGATTGTTGTATATCAAATGAAAGGTCATAATGTGTACATTTCAAATATCAAATTCATGTCCTCCAAAAATGAGGTGGATGGGGTTATTAAATGCAAAAATCAAACTTTCTAGAACATGGCGTTGTCGCATATCATATGAAAGATCATCAAGTCTACATTACATATATCATACTTCCGATATCAAAAATGTAGGCGGATGGGGTCATTAAGTGTAAAAAGTGAAAATTTTCAGAAGGTATGCTTGTCGTTTATCAAATGAAAGGTCTTAAAGAGCACATTACAAAAACATCACTTTTACAGGAAAGACCTTTCAATTGTTTTACAAACAATTGAGATACTAGTTTTTCTTGTTTTTTGTCATCCCGTCCCTTTAATTGAACATTAAACTGAATATTTAACACCACCACACACCCTGGATGTACTTAGATGCTCTGTAAGGATCAGTAGTGTCTGCTCCACGTATGATACCGACCGTGTCACTCGTGTTAAAATATTTGGATAAATATTATCCGTTGATAATATAATAAACAGTAGCGGGTTGGTAATTTTCTCTTATTTTTATGTTAAAAATAGACATTACAGACTGAATCATGAGTGTTTGGGGGTTTTAATCCTGATTTGAGCAAATATTTTATTATGCACCATTTTGTAACTAGGTGTGTTATACTGAAGACACTTTATGATAAGCTTTTACTTCAGTAATAAACGTTTAACTTAATGAAAATGTCCTAGTATTACTGATCATAATTTTAGTTTAAATATTAGGCTCGTAATTGGTATTTTTAGCCGACAATTAATGTATAATAATTTTATAATAGATTATTTGAAGGTCTCGAGTGTTTCTTTGTATAATATAATAAAACGCTTCAGTTGAGTGCCAATGAAAATTCAATACAGAAGTATACACATATCATGTGGATTTCCAATGCAGACTAACGATGAATTCAATTAATCTAATTTATGTATAATGTCTATTTAAATATATATTATTTCATGTCAAATTTGAATATATATTTATATAAGTAAGCGCCATTAAATGAAATTGTTAAATGTAAAAAATTAAATCATATTTTGTAAGATTGATGAAGATTACCGCAACAGTCTAAACTGAAAAAAAAAAAATCAGTAAGAGTAGAAGAAAATAGAAAATTAGAAATATAGCCTCTATTACTTATACATGAGAGGGAAAACAAATACCTCGAACAAATAACAAAAATCAAATCAGATACGCTGACAGGACACACATTTTATTTTTAGAATATTTGTTTCTATATAATTCACAATCATTATCATAGTCTATTTAAAGCCGAATAGAGCCTTTATGAATCCGTTTTCTGAAATATCAGCTAAAATTAACAACAAAGTATAAATATTTTAAATGTTTAACAAAGTCAAATATAATAAAGATGACTTCTTAAAATCAATTTCGATCAAAAACATATCTTTACTGAATCTAAAGCCTTTGATCGAGAGGGTCTGATTCTTGTC